GGCTGTTCAACTGGCTTGCGCCTGTCGCCTTTGCTGGCCTGCGTGAAGTTTGGCGAGATCAGGCGAGCCGCGTTCTCGGAGTTCTGCGTTCCAAGTCTGCAAAGTTGTTTGATATGGCCGAGGTTTGTGTGCATCTACCCATGTGCCAGCAAGAAAGCCCAGCAAGCTGCTATCAGATTCTCAGCGGCTTGCAGCGAAGTCTGAATTTGCTACAGGCCCAGTCCGACAATAGCTGGTTTCCTCCAGCAAGCAGAGGAGAGGAAGTCGTACGCCATGCGCATCATGCGTGCAGGGTAAAAGTTGAACTCGGCACCTGTCGGCCTACCAAAGGAGAACTTAGCCTTGTTGAGAGCGCGTGCACAGACACCGCGTGGGCAGCCCAGTGATGGCGCACTGCAAAGGAGATTTTCTGCGAGGGGCCTTGTCTTGTGAGCTAGCCTCAGCATGCCTGTGAGCTTGTTGATGGTAGACCCTTTTACTAGCCACCACGCTGGTCATGCGCTCTACCGTGCTGCTGCTGCATCAAGGACTTTTGGTTTTGGCATAGCTCCAACGCTAGGTTTGTATGAAACAGGGTCTGTGAGTTGTACCGCCCCAAGCCACTTGAGTTGACCCATGGTTGGTGTTCTAATGATTCTAGAGTGATTCTAGTCTGCACCAATGTTTTCTTGTTGACTGAGGCAAAGCCCGTGCAAGGCCAATTGAGGTCCTGGACACAGTCTAATCCCATACACGGAGTTTTCTCAAGAGTCTTGCATGCCGCGCCGTGAATCGGGCGACCATTCTTTCACAGGCACTGTTGCTGATTGCCAGGAAAGCCCAGGAAGTGCAAGCGCGCGAATGAGTCCAGACCTTGACAGCGGCTGCTGTTTGTTGCTGTTTGTTGCTGTGTGTTGCTGTGTGTTGCTGCTGTTGCCTTTGTTCTTGCTTTTGCTCTTGTTGCTGACACCGTGGGTTTAACGATTTGCAGGAGCACAGTCCTGAAAGAAGCAGCAAACCTGTCTGCAAGGTCAACGACTGAAGGGCACAGGGTCTACCCGCTCGTCGCCAAGGCCGCCGGAGGAGATCCAGAGTTCGATGGAAACGCATCTGATGATGTTTGATGGTTGGAGTTGCAGTCGGCTCTGTGCCAGGAGCCTGAGCTTGAGGAGCTGGAGCTGCATGCGCGAACGTGACTGGGCTGCACTCCTGAGAGCGGAGCTACATCCTTTGGAATTGCGAGTTCGCAATAGTACTTTCTTTCGACCATGTTTGACAGGCTGCGTGAGCTGGATCGCAAAGTGAGAGGTGACGTGCTGCGTGAGCGTTCCAGGGGCTTCAAGAATGCGGCGTGGCATTCTCTTCTGAAGAACGGTTTCTGTGAGTACTGTAGGGGTACCTTGATTACCAAACCAGCCGGGCGTTGCACTTCCTGCAGGCTTCGATGCTCGCTTCAAGTCTATGGAAAAGGCTCGACGTTTCTTGCAAGTACAATGCCGGAAGATGGAAAAGTCATGGAGTGTCGAAAAGCGTCGGCGAGTGTGCTGGTTGAAGCTGACAGTAGGCCGTGGCTTCAGCTGCGGACCTTGCAGCAGCCTCTTCGAGGATTCTTTGCCTGCAAGCAGTGAACCGCTGCAGTGTGAGCCCACACTTTCTCTTTCGCGTGGCAGGTGTGGCCGTGATGGCATTGAGGCCAAGGGCTGTGAGGGGAGGGAAGAGTTGCAAGGACCGTCGTCGCCTTCCTCGCCCCCGAAAAAGAGCGCATTTGAGCTCGCCTTCCAAGTTCTGCTGGAGGCCGCAACGGCTGCAACTGCTGCCGTGCGAGTTGAGGCGGAGGCCGCTATGATGCAAACTGTGAACTCTCTGCATGGTGGGATGTTTTTGCTGCTTGGAAATCTGCACCAGGCCAAGTGCCGGGAACTGGCGCAGCGGATTGAAAGTCGGGACCTTGAGATCTGAGATTTTGCCCACGATGCTGCTGTAGGGAAGGACGAGCCTTGTTGCTGCAAGCTCCTAACATGGCCTTGCTCAGTCTCAGGCCTTCCTGTTCCTGGTCGCTGGACGCAGGAGAAGCAGTTTTCAGCACAAGACTGACATGCCAAACTCGGTCCTCCCCACATCTTCGGGTACCAGCAAGGACCTCGAAGCGAAAATCGACAGTCTGGCAGCAGCCTCTGAAGCTGCATGCATGCCATTTGAGGTAGAGAGACTAATCATCAGCAAAACTTGCGTGGAGTTGGCCTGTGGGTTGTACTGCAGGAGTTAGCAGGATGGGCCCTAGGTCTCATGTGCCCGCCAGCAACCCGCAGGTGCACGCCTCCCTGAACGACGACTTGCGCTGTTTAGAGAGGCCTGGGTGAAGGCTTAGCAGGCTTATAAGTATTCGTGCTTGCATGTTTGAGCACTGCGCCTGCTGAAGCTGGCCAGGCGACTGCTAGCCCAGTTCTCCAACCGGCACTCAGAGGTCCTAGAGGCTCGCCGGTCCACAATCTGAATTCCCAAAGCCTGCAGACATCAGCAGGCAGCTCAACAGATGGCAGCCGAGCTGAAGGCGGAGGTGTCGGAAACATGATGCATTGCCTTGGGTTGTCTTAGGGCGCGCCTTTTTTGCTGCAGGTCAACATGCAGTTGGAGGCCGTTCAGGCTGGCAGGAGCACCCTTCTTTGGGGTAGTTTTGCTGTGTGGCAAGCTGTCCTTGTTTGTGCCATGCTGATGCACAAAGATGCAACGTAGAGTCCGTCGTGACAGTTCACCGATCCGCTTGTACAGTGGCTCCCAGGATCCTTCAGCCAGCTCATCGTGAGGGCTCGGAAGGCGCGTGGTGGGGTTTGTGGAGCGAAGGGTCCGTGCAGAGAATCCTTTGAAGGTTCTGGCCCGTGTCTTGGTGGCCGCAAAGAGGCCATTTTCACAACATGATGTGTACGTCCAAGACGCTTCGCGTATGGAGAGGACTTGGAAAGCCGACTTCGGATTGCCGAAGCGGCTGGAAGCCAAGACCATCTCGACCGGCAAGCATCGATTTCACTTGTTCGGCAGACTGTCCAGGATCTCCGTCGGGCTATGCGGGATGTCCTTGCGCTTGGTGTTTTGCGATTCCACTTGGGTGTTTTCTTTTCGAATATGCGGCGCTTTAAGCAGACGACATGTTACTGTAATTGCGCCCTCGTGCTCCAAGGTTGACAGCATGGAGCGTGCCACATTCTTGGATGCCACCTCCACGAAGCTGGATTTCAGAAACCTCAAAGCAGTGTCAAGGCATATGCTGGGCCCATACAGCAGCTTGAGCAGCGGATTGTTTCACTGGAGGTGGAGCACTTTGTGAATCTCATTTCGTGCTTCCACTCTCAGTCTTTCTGCGAGGCATGCAAGGCACCAGCGATGCCTGGGCCCAACTCTGCCTCATTGGAGTGCGCCGCTCGTAACAAAGTGCAAGTCAGCGTTACGACAGCAGGCAGCGCCAACAAACCCTTTGGCTTCATGAGGCCAGCGCAGGAGCAGCGAATCCATAGGCTGGAGGCCGATCAGAAAAGCCGAAGCGTAGTGTCGCATGCGCTGCTGTGCCATGCTGTGCCGCGTGAGCGCTTGTCGACAGGCAGATCTGGTGAAGCTGCTGCAGCCCTGGCAAGACATGGCCACGGCGCGGAAGAGCAAAGGGCAGATCATTATGCGACTTGAAAGTTCAAGAAATTTCAAGAAGTTGCAGCAAGGTTCCAGCGGCTTGGCTCGGCATCTCCGAGTGTTGGAGTCCAGGCAGCCACATCGGCATGGCAGAAAATCTAATTGTAGGTAGTTTGGTATTCGGGGTGCGAGGAAACTGTACAACTTGCTTGAAGATGCAAGGGAAGGAGCCAGGGCACACGCGTCATCCTTTCTGCACCTTTTCGCAGGGCCTCTTCCTAACTTCCAGCCGCTCTCAATCTACTTGTCACTCACATGTATGGTTGCCTGTTTCTAGCCCTCCAGATGCACAGAAGCTGGCAGACCTCACCACAAAAAATTGGCTCGGAGGGTTCTGTCAAATTGGAACACAAAGGATTGTCGTTCGCAAGGCGACTCGAGGCAACAATCGCCACATAGCCAGCATGTCTTCAAATACCGCTGCTGGGGGCTGGAGCGTCTGCTCTTTGTGCGCGCACATTGTTGCCAAGAATCTTGCAGTCTTGTGGCATCCCTTTTTGACAGGATCCAAGTGCGCGACGCGGCATTACGATTGATTCATCGCTGGATTCCAATCGTGCATTCAAGTCCCCAGTCTGATGTGCTTGGAGCTGCACAGCGCTGAGGCGCCCTCACTCCACCCCAAGTGTGCTTGGTGGTGCAGACAGTGACATGGAGGTCGCTGCGGCAATGTTTTATGTTTTTGGCCCGGCAGCTACCCATCAGATCATCACAGCACGGAGCCTCAATGATGCTCAAAATGCATGCAGGCAGCGGTTGCGGGGCCATCGGTGCATGAGCCTAAGTGGCTTTGTAAGGAGCTTTCCCAGCCTGGTTCGTTGGACAAATGGTATGTGATGCTGTCATGGCTTTGCAAAACATGAGGGCTTCTTCTCAGCCACGAGCTGCAACTGGAGTGATGCTTCCGTTGCTTTCATCATTTCGAGCTGCAGGCTGGAGCACACTTTGCGGCCGGCTGACCTGGCAGCAAACATTGCAGCCGGTGAACCACAAAAACCTGCGAGGGCTTGGAGCAAAGCAATGGCAGGTCAGGGCAGGTCTGAAGAGCTGTCACCCAGCGGCTGCAAAGCAAGGTCGAGACCGAGAAGGCAAAGCCAACTGAGCCCAAGGCTTATCACGTTGCTCGCACAAGACCAGCTTGTTCAGTTCTGCACCAAAGAGTGAGGTTGGCGCAGTCGTTGAAAGCGCCTTGCGGTTCGGTGGGCCGCAAGCCCAGCTGGCGCCATTGAACGGAAAAAGCACTCCAGCGCCAGCTCTCGCCGGCCGCCTCGCGCGCAAGGTATGTCACTAATTTGCAAGTTACCAAAGCTTTGCCAAGCTTTGATCATGAACCCAGCTTTGCTGATCTGTCGTAAGGCGGTGTGGGGGAGGGAGTGGCCAAATTTGGTTGCATTTCTGGAGATAGACCCCGCCAAAGGGCGGTTTTTCGGGGTGGCCTGGTGGTCTCCGAAACCGGCCATTTCAGGAGGGTTGGTTGTGCCCGGTTCCAGGGCAGGGAAACGGACATCTTCTGATGCTGCTGATGCCCGGGTGCGGCGGAGGCTGTGTTTGCTGAGTTGTGGCGTATTGTGGCAGAGTCTGCTATGTCCAACTGCAGCCGCGCCGGTTTGGGTTAGCTTTCAGCGGGTTGAGGCTCAGTTTCATGCTCGCGGGTCTCCATGCTCATGCGCTCGACACCCTTTGAAACACTACTTCACTCGCATGCTGCACGCCTGCCCAGAGCCTGCTCCTGCCTCCTGCCTCGAATCTTTGTTCCCCCCGACCCGCCCCGTGGGGCAAGTTGCAATGCTCTATCCTTGGTTTCTGCCAGGGCAGTCCTGCAAAAGATTCACCTCACAGTCTGCAGTGTGTGAAGTTCATGTTTGTGCTCCGTTCTGGGGGGTCTCCCGCTTGAATTCAGAATGCCAGTGAGTTGACCGGAAATGCAACGACCATCTGATCAGGGAGTATGCCTTGACGAAAAGTCTGACCACAACACAAGGGGAAAGAAGGGATTAAATACTTCATGGCTTACTGATTACTGGCTCACTGCCCTTACTGGCAACTGATTGGAAGTTTGCTGGGATTCCTGGATGCTCGATCAGGCTGCTCTTACTTCGTCAAGGTTTACTTGGTGTTAGCCATGAATGACTTAAGGAAAGCAAGATCTGAAATTCCGGAAACTTTCCCATTCCACGTCTAGAGGACATTTTCAGGCGAGTCTCTTCTTCTGACCAAAAGATCCAAATGTTGATTTTCATCAAAGCTCCGATCCAGAATCCTCCAGTTCGGATTGTTCTCGCTTCAGTGGAACTGCCAACCTATGATAGCTTTGGATGACATGCAGAATGAGGAGCCGGGTGTGTACCTTGGGTATGCATCGAGAGCCAAACGGATTGGATTCCGTGATGGAAGCACCCGCGATTGTTCCATCCGTTTTTGCTGCTTTGATGGCTCATGGTTTTGTTGCTGCCTATTTCAGGCATGCCGCCAGCGCCTCCTTCACCAACTTCACCTTTGCCAAACAGGCCAGTCTGGACCCCAGATGAGAGTTTAAGCCTTTGCAAGCATGGAGTTGGAACCAAGGTGGTGCCGTTTCAGCCGCCAAGCCGGCGCCCTTCCCGCCTCGCTGTGCCAGGACCAGGTCACATCAGGGCTAGCCTTTGGCCGGCGAGTTAGGGGGGGAGATGTCTTGAGTAGTGCCGCGGAAAGGTTTGCCAAGTACTTGCAAAAGCTACGTAGTTGTAATTATGTAGTTGTTAGATGTTCAGCTGTGCTCGCTCGATGCAGGAACGAGACGAAACACATGTGCAGCGCAAGTGCCGGTCAGAGCCCGATGCCCCAGAATGCCCAAGATGCGTGACTGTTTATCCCACTCCAGCATCAAGCTACGCTACACAGGGGGTAGGTAACTATGGAATTGATGGCCGGCTCCAGCATACTTGCAGATGACAGTTGGGGATAGGCAGGCCAGTGAGCCCGTTGCCGCTTCTTGCCCGGTCTCAGGCCGACATGCCACCGGCTGCCTCTTCCGGAGACATACAGGCAGACATGGCTCATGCTGAAACTTAAGCTCATTTGCTCCACCACTCGCTTGCAAACATGCCATGCTTCAACCACGGGGTAGTGCACGCACATCAGTTCCAGCGTTTGCTGTTGTTCAATGGCGGTTTGGCTACTTGACAGAGCTGAAGGTTCAAGTTCGAATGTCATAGGTCAGGACATAGTCTGAACAGCTTGCTTCGTAAACGGAAACATAGCTGCAGCATACTGGCTGACCCAATACTTCACGAAGACAACGCTGCAAGCGTAACCGGCCATTTTCGTGTGCATCATGAATACGGCGGAAGTGATGACGCCAATCACGCCTGGGCCAAAAGAAGGTCCTGAGCTTTCCGAAGAGCAGGTCCTCGCGTATCTCTCCCGGCTACAGCCAGAGGATGCAAACGCATTGCTTGCAAAGCTGCCCCAAGCTCCCTTGCAGACATCGATGGTTCCTAACCCAGCCAAGCCAGCTGCTGATGGAGGTCGAAGCAGAAGCTCCGAAGCCACCAAGGAAGCCATGCGCGCCATTGCTTCAGGGAATTTTGCCTTGGCTCAAGATCTGGTCTCGGAATCGGACCTGTGCTACCTTGGCGAAGATGGCTGGGGATTCCTGCACTGGGTCGTGCATGCTGCTGGTGCCGCTGGTGCCGCCTCTTTGCACACTGACGAGGAGCATCCTGTAGGATGCCGATGTTGCCACTCTGCTTCAGCAAGCGCAAGAGGTCCTGCTCTGGCGCTTCTTCAAGTGCTGCTAAACTGCCAGGAGGGACGCTTGGCAGTAGATGTTTGCACGTCGCAGGGATCCACTCCCCTCATGTTTGCGGCGGATGCGGGTGATAGAGACGTTTGCCTGGATCTGCTCAAGGCGAGGGCTGATTTGTCACTGAAGGACTGTGACGGCGACACTGCTGAAGCCTGGGCTCTGGCAAAAGGTCACAAAAGCCTGGCGGAAATTTTGCGTACAGACTCCTAGACGAGAGCCTCAGCATAGGCCATGTAATCATTCTCCCCGCAGAAGAGGGCATGCGCGACAGTACAGAGTCGCCGCCGAGATTTGCGCAAAAGGTCGGATGCCGGCAGCGCAGGGCCTTCTTGCATGCCAGTGCAGGCCTCAAATGATGGACCACAAGACGGCGCCAGGCCCAGCAGACAACTTCCGGGTGCAGACTTTCTTGCTTTGTGATCTGCATGTGACATGTTGCAACAGTCGCGATCTGTGGGATCAGCTGCTGGATCCAGGTCATAAGCCCAGAGAGCAATCTCTGCCACATACCGATATATTGGGGGATGACTATGGTGACCAGAGTCTGGTGAGGCCAAAAGACCATTCTGAAAGGCCGGAACAGCATCGGGAGCAGCCAAAGCTGACGAAGCTGCTTGCGCTGTCAACCACCAGCAGCGAGACACAGTTTGAATTTGTGTGTGATTGCGTGGACTTGTTTTGGGGCTCAAGCATCCAGAATTCAAAAGAGTTCGTGCAGTTGCATCAGACCGGGCCCTTCGACACTTCTCATTTGTTGCGCCATGTGCTTTGCTCCCGTTGCCGCTCTACGGGGCCGCGAAGTCCCTGCTGCACGGGCGAGCACCCTGCGCAAGGGCCACCAGGGCCACATCCGTGTGTGCAAGTCGAACGTAGAGAGGCTGACAGCAGCAGCTGTGGCTGCTATTGCAGCAGCTCGGAGGCACATTCACACCCTCAATCCTAAACCCGAAACCTTTCCAACTCGCTCGGGCTACATTCATGCATAGCGGTCACTAGTAGTCCGACATCATGGTGATGTTAAAATCTAGAGCAGTTAGTTTGGGCCATAAGCACTGCACGGGCTCAGGAAACGAGTTGCAGCACGTTGAAGCGACGTATCCGACAACGGCTGCACAAGAAGCTTGGTTCTATCCTCACCAAAGCAGAGTTCGCAGCGGCCATAGAAGCTTTCAAGGATATGGAGCAGCCTCTCGGTCTGAATGTTGTGGACCTTGGAACTCCACGCGGTAGACAGGTCTCCTGCGCACGAGGCAAGTGGCAGCGACCAACCAGGCGTGTGCCGCAAGTGTAGCGAGCACTGCAAGTCCAACGTCAGGCACTCCACATGCCACTTGTCCTGGTTGTCCCGCACGAGAGCTGCGTGCGTTCTACAGTGGTTCTGCTCAGCTCAATGCTTTTGAGTCCTTTTCAGTTGACAGCTCAGGAAGGGAGTGAGGCAGCTAGCACCTGCTGCGATCCCAGCGAGTTGGACAAGGATGAGGACCAACCTGTCGCTTTTTGCAAAGTGTTCAATCAGCCCCCCCTCCTGCTTCTACGTCAGGAAGACTGCCGTGAGATGCGACCCTTTGTATTGTCAGCTGAGATTCCGGTGGAGAGAACTTTCATCCATTTCAGAACAAGCGCGGCGCTTCGCAAACGAGCCCGATCCATCTAGGCGTGAAGGTGCGATTGCATGTCTTTAAGGGTTTAGGTCGAGTCAGCAGTCTACTTGCGATGGTCTGTCGGTGGACGTTGTAAAGCCAAAGCTGCTCACCAGCCCAATATGTTCCAGCTCAGTGTCTAGCGCTGTGCCTCAGGGCCGGAGGCCTGAGATGCACAGTACTTTCCAAAAACTTTCCAGGATAAGGAAGAGCTGGGGTGATAGTTCCCTGTCCTCTTCCTTTCGGACATTTTCAGAACAGCTGGCATGCCAAGTCCGGAGAAGTAGTTCTTTCGAGACGCGGTGTGTCAAAACGAAGACCATGTACAGATGGGCATCGAATCGAATGCCTTTGATACAGAACCTGTGGTTTGAGACCCAGGCTCCACATCACATGCAGCTGCAGTACAGTCCCCCTCCGAAGGGATTCGCGCACATTGATGTGAAGGTACCGGAAAAGGATTGTCTGTGAAAGGAGTGGGGCGAGTCCTCATCTCGCACAGTGAAGGTCATGCAGATGGCCATGAAAGCGCAGAGTCACCCGCAAAGGCCGCAGGGTACAGTGCACGAGATTGCGCCGATTGATTCGCATTTCTTCACAGACAGGTAGAGGGTGAAGTTGAGGAAGCTGCAGCGCCAAGCCCTCACAGATCCCGCAGAAAATTGAAGAAGAGCTCTGCATGCTGTTTTTGTTGACATGGCGTCACGTTCGTATTGAAGGACTTGGCCGCGTTTCTCCTTGGCTCAAGTTACCTTCGAGGATCCAGATGTCTGATTGTATCGCACCTTTTTCTTTCTACAAAGGTGGCATGGCGTGCTAGGCCCTTGTCCTGTTAGGCATCTTTCCGTAGCAATGCGCCTCTTATGGCTCCTCGTTCCGCTCGCATCGGTGAGCGAGGCTTCACTGGTTGTCGCTGATCTGGATATTAGCCAGTTCGTATCTGTTCGTCTTGGAGATGCCATGCACTGCACAGCACAGCACTGCAGGCATTGCACGCCGAAACACGTAGTCGCCTAAGTCCCCCAGGTCTACATGGGCTCGGCAGGCTGCGATGAGGACGACACGAACTGTCATCAGACTGGGAGCGCTCCAACCACCCTGTATGCCTATGATGTACTTTCGCAGCATTTCGTAGCAAGCTTGTGCAGTTGAGTCTTTGAACCATTCCGTTTCTGTACCTCCTGCGGACCAAGGTGATGACAAGCGGAAGAATAATTCCCTCTCCGGGCCTTTTTGTTGATGTTGATGGCCTGCCACTATGGCTTGCCGTCAAGGAGCGCACAGGAATAGGATTTGTAAAGGACAAACAACGCATGCGAACAAAGGTGAGAGTTTGCCAGTGCTTGCGATGCTGGATAAGACTGCAGAGATATGCCTTCCCAACAATCTGCCAGCCAAACTGCGCAACTTCGTTATCTCTTCCACGGATTCCCCATGCAGTACGAAACTCGAAATAGGGATGTTTGGTTCAAGGACTGCTTCGGGATTTGGATCTGACAGGGAAATCATTGCACAGCGTGCCTACAGGGACTCCCAGAATCATGGAGCAGTTTACATGGGAGTCCTGATAGTGAAAACATCCCACTGGGCTCAGCCTCACATCATCAGTCTACTTCCTCCTTCATAGTCGCAGGCTTCAGGTGCTACAAGCCGCGCGTGGCATTTTTTATCAGCTTGTGTACCCACATCTGATTCTCCGCCGCTTTCCGCAACGAGAGCCCAGAGGCTCCGCATGGCAGGGGTCCAGCTGTTCAGCCCTGAGCACAGGAGGAGAGATTATCCCAGAGAGAAAATCTAGACAACCTGCATATCAGATATGCCGGCAGAACTGGCCAAATTCCGAAAGCAGGAGCGTCCAGGAACTCTTCGCCGCTGGAGAACAAAGATTTTGAGTCTCCCCCGTCATGTAAGGATTGTGTCTAACAGTTAGGACTGTCCCCACTGCCACTAGCAACAATCCTGTTGGCAGCGTATTCAGATTGAAGATGATTGAAGTCTGCGCTAGGTTTTCCGGCCAAATCCAAGAGTCAACCAGAGCGTGTTCTTGAACAACCTCGTTTGTTTCATGCCGACAACGGGTTCATCTCAAACCCCTCCTGATCTGCAAAGGAGTCAGCTCGGATGGAGAACAAATGTATGTTCGCCACCCTCGCCAACCACCAGATACGCGTCTTGCAAAACCCAGGATCTGCAGCCACAGCCTTTGAGCCTATTCAGATTGTGCCATCCGGTGGTTCAACACCTGTTTTTGCAACTTTGAGCTTGGACGGAAAGTTCTTGCTGGTTGCAAACTATAACTCCAATGATGCGCCCTCGGGCGCTGGAGTATCAGTGTTTGAAATCCAGCCCGACTGCCAATTGAAAACCCCGTACGTTGCCACGCACCACGGATCCTCAGTGGACTCTCTGCGCCAACTGGCGGCGCATACACATGGCTTGGTTGCATCATACAGGCACAACATTGTTTATGCCTTCGACTTGGGTATGGATACGATTTTCGCTTACAAGCACCTTGCTTGCAAGGTGAGGTTTGCTGGATTCTGTGTCGGTTTCATCCTCTGGGGAGATTATTGAGTGCTGTTCTCGTCTTTTTATTGTGGCCCTAAGTCTGTAGAGTGCTCAGTAACCAGCACAGTATGCCCTGAGAACATTGCAGCGATACAGAGTAGGCTGTAAGGATGATTCTGCATCCCTTCCTTAGCTGGTCATGTCATCTGCTGCGTGACAGACCCACACGCCCAGCGATTGCACGCGCTGAGAGCCAGGCTTTCTGTTTCTGGCCAGCTGGAGGAGCTCAAGCGCATCGAGGCGTTGCAAATTCGCTCCTGCCTGTAGGTCTCTTTTTTGAGTGTCTCTCAGTTTCGGATGCGAGTGGGCCCGTGCCTTCCAAAACTTCCGTGCCTGGGAGGTGCCTGCAGCGTCTGGACCACGCCATGGAGTTGAGCACCCAACGCTGCCTATTCTCTATGTCATCTGTGAAATGGGTAACCCTCCTCTGGATTAGCGGGGTAGTCTACAGGTAAGCGGGCCACGATCATTGCAGAGTGGAAATCCTGCAACGCCCCAGGCAAGACCGTCATGGTATACCAGGACCGCTCGCTGGCAGGTGCAGCAATCTCTTGAGCCAATACTCATGAAGAAGGTACTGCCGAACTATCACAAGGAAAGACACTTGCATTGAGGAGTTCGAGGATGGGCGCCTGTTGCTGCGCCAGATCAACCAACTCCGCCTAGAAGAAGCTGATGAACATAGCAAAGCTGCTGAGATTACGATGCTGGCGTCAGGGAAGGCCCTGTATGCTACAAACCGGGGTGAGGTGGACTCCTCCAACACTGCTCTACCCTGGCATTTAGAAGAATTTCATTTTGCTGCGACTGCACGGCCTTGATTCATCGAAAGGATTCGAGGGTGACAGTGCCCAGGTGACAGTGTTCAACGTGCTCGAGAATGGGCATTTGCAGGAGCCATGGCTTTGAATCTTCCAGCTGAAGATTTGGTCATGCCTGGTTTTTGAGTGTTTTTTCGGAGTTCGGGGCTTGTCGTAACGCCCAACTAGTCTTGCGTGATGACTGCAGCCAAAGTTCTGAGCAGGAGATACAGCAGATCAGGGCCCCCTCTTACCCACGCGGGATGACGTCTCTTGCCACAATGCAGGTAGTGCAACTCCAGACGGCGCAAGAACACTGCAGTAGTTGCATCTTCCAGAGAGCATTTGAACTCTTGCTGCGCTCGCAGGCTTATCCACGAAGACAGCATGTTACTTGTAGCGGGCCAGTCCAACAGCGACCTCGCATTCTACGAGGTCCAGCCTGAAGGCCACCCCATCCATGTCAGACTCTTGATCTTCACGAAAAGTATGTGGTAAAGGGCAGCAAAAACTTGTCCTGCTGCCTGCAGGGAAGCTGAGTGAGCTGTACACGCTGACCAGAGGAATGCCACCGCAACCTGCGGCATTTGCAGTGCTGCAACAACCCATCAGAGAGTCACGCGGTGATCCCGCCAATTTATAGATGCAAGTGCCAGTGCCTTTGAAAATTGTGAGTCAAGTATGTCGACCATGCAGATGTTAGTGGGATCAGTATGGCCGTGGTAGCCTGGCACTGGTCACTGGTCACCCTCACTTTGGCTTACGCTTCTCTGCGGCTTGCAAGGTATGCAAGCTGCAGCCCAGGACGTTTTTCTCAGCATCACCAGGCAATGTGAACTAGCCAAGCGCGGATCGACAGATTCAGCTCCTTTTGGATGTGGTGATGCATGGGCAGTGCTGCACAGATATTCTTCTTTGCCCAAGCAGCTTACAAACCGGCGCGCGGCACTGCCGAACAACTCCAGCACAAAATTCGTGCAAAGAGACACGCCTTAAATCGCCTTAGAACGATCAGCACCCCTTGAATCGCCTTGCCTGTGAGGAGGTCAAGAAGGGTCGCCTTGCGTCTCACCAGGATGGTGTCCATCTGCTGGGCGAAAACGTTGCCCACTGCAGGTAGCACCACCACGTGCTCAACTGCAGTTGCATAGTCGTATAGTGCTTAGTGCAACCTCCCAGGAAGGATGGACGAAGTGTGCTAGTTGTAAAGCCCAGCTTCCAAGAAACCGATGAATGCTCCTTTCAGCAAGACACGTCCATCAGCTCCGGAGGCGCTGGATTACAGCACGACGTAGCTCGTGCCCCGAAGAAACTGCAAAATCTCTGGGTTGCGCAGATCCCATTTCCAATGTCTCCTGCGACCGGAACTTGTTCCTGGTGTGGAAAAAAAGCACCGAATCGAATGCTGGAGTTCCAGAGCATGAGATCACCAAGAGTTGCAGTAAGCGCAGCAGCTTACACAAATGTAACTTGAGGCCGCATCCCTCGCTTGCGTCCGCATCGGGTGACCAGGCCTCTGCACAGGAAGGTTCCTCCTGAGGCTGATATGAGACGTTTTTGTGTGTCGCATGGATGCATTTGCTTCTGCTTCGCTGCAGCTGCTGCCCTAGGAATCCGTATGAAAGTATGGAGTAGAAAAATGGGTTCGAAAGCCCTGCAAGAACAAGCGTGCAAAGACTCAGAATATAAATCTTGGCCTTCCCTTCCCACAGTCCATCTGATGGCCACATGGGGCGGCGGCGCAGCGCCTGGGCTGCGGCGGGCCTGGCAGCACTGGGTCAGGCGGATCATGGAGCAGCTCATGAAGCCAACTTTTTTGCTCAAGAGTTGCAGGCCTTCGTTGGGAGGCATCTTGCTGGCCGTGTGTTGATCCCGCAAAGGCGCCGTTGCAGGCCTTCGGGTCTTGGGACTTGAAGATGTTTCACAATTCTGTATCTGTTGGATGGTGCGTGAGGACTTGCACATTGTCGCAAGATGAGCTCTGGGGCGGCTGGGATGCGCCACTCTTTTGCATCACCTGAAAGCTTAAGCAGTTTGCCTCACAGATCTCCTGTGCCCAGGAACTTCTCAGCCTATGGCGTCGACCCTCGTGCTGTGCGGCTGCACTAGTCTGCACTACGGAAGTACAGATGAATTTTGAAGAAGGTGGAGAGCGAGCCAGTGCATCAAACCAAGCTTAGGAGGCTTATTCCAGCAGGTTTTCCTGGCGATGCATTCGCTTGTCTAAGGGTTTCACAGAAATGGCGATCATCGAGGAGATCTTCGAGCGTTGGGATAGGCGGGCGTGCTCACAGCTGTGAACACGGCGATGCTTAGCCGGTTCAGAAACTCAATGGAAGATTCGTTGAATGTGCTTAGCTCACATTCCGCCTAGGGACGGCAGTGGTGAGCTTTCGCTGGAAGAGCCGGAAGCTCAGATGGTGCCCAAGGATTGCACGTAGTCCTGCGCAGAACTGCTTACATATTTGCCGTTTAGTAGAGCGTTCTTCAGCAAGTGGAGCCAGGACTCTGTCTTGTTATGCCTCCATGCTACTGCAGCGTCTGAAGATGCTCGGGCTTCTCGAAGCTCCGCAAAGCCGGCTTGCGCCGGAGCTCCCGCAAAGTCGGGTTGACGACCGGAGGGGAATGCGCGGCATGCGCGGCAGAGCCTCAGTCTCTACTTCAGTTCAGCTGCCTTCGTGCTTGTTAGCAGTTGCAGCCTGTGTGCGGAGAACAAGATGTCGAGTGCCGCGAAGCGCCAGCCTGCAACTTGACAGTTTGCCAAACTGGCGAAGGTTGGTTGCAACAGCGGACTGTACCGCTGGAGAGGTGCTTTGGCGGGAACCTCCTCTGCTGGTATGGCAGCGTGGAGAGTCTCCAGAAGAGAATTTCTTGAATGCCCTACGAGTCTACAACAGTCTCCCGGAAAACTTGCAGCAGCGCATTTCGACCTTCCACTGCCCCGAGGCCTTGAATCTCCAGACTGGAGGCTCCTTCACTGATGACGAGCACCGCATCCTTTTGATTCTGGAGGCTTGTTGCTCCGGACTGCCCGCTGGCAATGCAGGGCTATTTGAGCATGTTGCCTACGTCAACCACAGCTGCCAACCCAATGCCGCCATACGAGTGTTGGGCCGCGAGTCGGGCTATGAGCTTCGCTTCATAGCCTTGCGATCCATTGCAAGGGGTCAGGAGATCACAATCTCATACATACGTAACAGTTTGCTCATGCAGCCTGTAGGCAGCCGACGGCGCCACTTGCGGTCGTGGGGCTTCAGGTGTGAGTGTGTTCGGTGCGCCGCTGTGCACGACGACACCCGGCAAATCTGCCATGGCGGGCAAATGCTTATGGCATCATCATATAACGGGCTGCTAACAAATACGTGGCCGGCAAAAACATACAAGCGAATGTCAAGGCAATTTCAGCAGTTGGAGGGCAGTTGGTGGCGCGAACGTTTTGATTCTCGACACGAGCAGGAGGCTGCTGAAGATGCGCGCCTGCGACGATTTGCTCTAGGCCTCGGGCCACAAGCGAGGTTTGAGGAGCGAGGGCGTCGTTTGCGGCAAGGCTGCTGGATGTCGCGGACCCTCCAGCTGCACCGGAGAACCCGCGACTCCTTGCATTGGCTTGCAGCCGCCGTCGCAGGTGACGCCTCCGAAGCTTACCTGTGGCGAGGCCAGCCAGCACAAGCAATTCAGGCAGCTCGCGAGCGCCACTCGTTTTTACAAGCCATATTGGCAGGAGGTCTATCTTTGGAAGCCGCTGTTGCCTTGGAAGTGCAGGGAGCCGCGCTCGAAATGTTACACTTGGAAGAGCAGGCGCAAGCAACATTTGAGAAAGCTTTACGCGAAATTGAGCCCTTGCACAATTCTTGGGATGACGACGAGTTTTTCACATCTTACCTCAAAGGTAGGATGCTGCCAGATGGCGTGAAGTGAGCCCGCTGGCGCGACCTGATGATGCCGAATGGGCGATTGCAGACCTTGCGACGCCGCACCGGCACCCCATCGCCACTCCATTCGACTACGTCAGAGCTGACACATGGAGCCATCTGTAGCCGTAACCACATGCACCACGTTCGCCATAGAGCTTGTGTTTTATTTGCGCGTCGGAGCTGGGGGCTGGAGTCAAGCATTGTCAGAATGAACCTGCGTCTACTCAAAACTGTAGACATTGCTCTTTGTGTCCATTTTTCTCCAGGTTCCGCGATGGTTTTCGCCGCGAGGGCTCAGCGCTTATCGCCACTAGGCCAACAGGTTCAAGGACCAGAAACGGCAAACCAGCCGAGCTTCCTTTTTGCAAATACACTTCTGTCCGAAGGACTTCATTCCGAGAGTCTTTGCTGGAGCCAATCGGCGGCAACTTGCCGGAATAGCAAGTCCCTTGGAGTTTCGGTGCCCCAGCCACTGCTCACTACGACATTTTGTGAGCTTTTGTTTTCCTCCTAGTGCCGAACATGAGCCTGAGGCTTCTTTCATCATACCTGGCACACAGTGTCCAGCAGCGTCAGCGCGGCTGGGGCGGGGCTTGCTGGGTATGGTGTAGGCGGGAGGGTGTGAGGGTCAATGGCTTGGCTTGCGAGAATTTGTGCAGCGCAAGTTTCGCGGAGCAGGTGCATGGGACGCTGCCATGCATCGAATTTTGGCTGAGCTAAACATGCAAGGTTTGTTGCCAGCGTACATTCCTTGCCTTGAGCATGAGCTAGGAATCAAGCTAAGAGCATGCTGCGCAAAGGAAAATTGTTAGGGTTTTTCGTTTCCAAATATTTGGAAGGCATTTCAAGGCTGCTGAAGGCCTGTCAGGCTGGAGATTGTGTTGTGATCTGCCAAGGTGTTGCATGCTGGTCCAATGGCTGCCGGGTGGTTTGGAATGATGGTGCCCGCCTAGTTGGCTCTGCGCCTGGGGCTGTGGGCCAGGCCGGATTCAGATGGTAATCCTCCCCGCGACTCGCAATTGGCAAAGCCTCTTTTGCTTCGCACAGGCAATCCTGAATGGGGAGGGCCGCGTCGTGCCTTACCTGCATTCATTCACCAGCTGTTCCAGAGCAGATGTGTACTGTAGAGGTGGCATTGTTTACCTCTCAAGCAAGTGAATGTTGATGATCAAATGACGCTCGCATAGACACACTGCTAGAGAGATCCCATGTCTGGGTCCGCCATGGTCCTCCGCATCTCTGCCGGACAGCAGCAATCCTCAGCCTGTCTCCGGCTCTCTGCTGCCAATGAGGTGGATGGGAAAAAATAGGGGGGCCTGCGGGATGTTGGTTGTGTCCCCTCTTCAGGCATCACACCGATGCATGCTGGAGATGAATTCTGTTCAGGCAACGCATATGCTGGCAGAGCTCTACAGCGAAGAGGAAAAACTGTTGTGCAGTAGTGGGCCTGTGACGTTGGCAGATGATGACTGGGTGTGCTTGAAGACAACGACTACCTCAGACGGCGGCATCTACAAGTTTCTTAACAGAAATTCTTAGATCTAGACATTGGTTTACCGTAAAGCAGCATCTGGCATCTGTGGGATATCCTCCCTTTTGCAAGCCCACAGTGCTCCCCACCCCGGTGCCCTCCCCCGACCCCACCCTACACAGACACACAGACACTTGTGCAGGTCTCCATATCAGGTATTTCCATTCCAGATCATTACCAAGCATCCATAGTTGCCTGAATTCTGCCTGTTCTCCTAGTATGCGTAACCCTCACTCAGCGCTTCAGAATATGTTACAGCAACTTAGTTCGACATCAATTCCGAACATGTTGCAATCTCTCAAGTTGACAGCAGGGTGAATCTTGCAGGTACACGCTTGAACCTCCCCAAATGCTTCCACTGATTTGCCGTAGCTTCGTTGGACAGGATAGGCAGATCAGCTCCTGTTTTCCTGTAATCTAATTGCTCTGCCACGTATGATTTTCTGCTTAGGCCAGAGTCCCTACAGCTCTTGAAGTCTTGGTTACAGAGACAGACACACATAGGATGGTATAGATTGGTTTCCCATTTTGAAGATCTTACCCACAACATGAACCTGTCATGACATGTCGATGACCAGTCCACACATGCGATTCATAACCATCAAACAGTAAACATGTCTGTATTGCATGCAACTGTCACATGAAGCAGGCCAACGATGCATTGCCATCACTTCTCCTGTCCTTCAAATGCTGTCACACGACTCTGCAGAAAAAAGGCAGTCACTCTGTACATGCGGGTACGTGAAGAAGGCGTCCCCTCGTCGTATCAATGTGTGCACTGAGAGCGTCTTCGTTGGCAGGAGACTCCCAGGCACACTCCTGCCCCCTGCACTGACAATTTGAAAACGCAAATCCTTTCACAACAAGCATGGCCCATCCTGGAAGATACCAGACCTGATCCGTCTGGCGTACCTGCAGAAAAGAGATTGGCATGGGTGACTGGAGTCGCAGCTTGCAATCTCAGCTTTTTGCGGTAGGTTCGGCATGTGAGGCAGGCACAGTCATGTCAAACATGTCAGTGCAGTGGTGCGTTTCAGAGCAAAAATTTTCAGTCATGTCAGTGCAGT